GGGGAGGTGACGCACAATATACTGTTCATTCTTTCCCACATTTGTGTTCATATTCTGTGTCTGTGTGTCCGCCTGCCCAAATATGTGTATGTGCATGCGTGTGTGTGTGTGTGTGTGTGTGTGTGTGTGTGAATGATTGAGTGAGTGAGTGAGTGCTAGCCTGAATCCCCGTGGGGGTTCATTTTTCAACCGACATTCCCTAGCGGCGGTATCAACTCCATATAATCGCTTATTGATATAAACGGATTCGGACAACTATTTGCCTGTGTTCACACACGAACGCAAACAACCCTGGGTCGATGGATGTCGCGATTCACAAGTCGTAATGATGGTTTGTACGTGTGTGTGTGTGTTTGTGTTTCTGATTAAACGAGTTCACATAAAACCACCCAAGAAGCGACAATCATTATCGCCTCATTTAGTTCAAATCAACCAAATACACAGTATTCAAAGGTGATCTTTACGATCTGGTGTGAAAGTTAAAAGAATAACGACAACTCCAGACGTGTACATTGTTCAATANCAATATCGTTGTGTCCAGGCCTGCATTTTATCTGCCAACCTGGCTACCGTGCAATTTGGTGTTTCAAGTCACCGGATCGGCTGATTGAAGTTAATCTTTCTATGCATGTCTGGAAGGATTTCGACACCTCAGTGAGAATCGCGTTTAGCCTGGTTATGATCAACCAGTTATCATTTACTCAGTATTTTCGCTGAACTTTGCCCATTTAGCTTGAGAACCGGATCTGCCATTGCCTAGAGACTGTTGGGTATCGCGTGGAATGATGATTAATCTCGTTCTATGGATACGGAAAGCACCAGTAATAGAGAAATTGAAAGAGCGTGAAACAAACGAGATAGTTGCATCACCCGCTCTTAGGGACTTTTTGAAATATTGTTAAGATAGGGATAGAGATACTCTGGTTTCTTGTTCACCGTTATCAAACCTGAGTTTCTTCAATGTATGTGCCGGAGTTCGAACTAATGAAAGACCATCCCACTCGTGTAATCCCATTAGACATAATTCGACGCACGATCGCAAATTATCTACAACGAATAGGTTTTTCTCAAAATGAAAGCACACGGTGTACACGCTGAGTACTTTGTGTGTGTGCGTATATGTGTCTGTATGTGTAGGACTTCATTTTATTAAAAACAGGCCTGATCTCTATCGCATCGGTTATTACATAATTTCATTCAATATCACAGATTGCAATTATCTAATTCAGTAGCATAATATGCTGAGAATGATGTAAATTTCCGCGGCTCATTGGAACCACAAAAATGGACAGAATACTGTAAACTAATACCAGGTCCATTCGTTCATCGAAAATCATAATATTAATCTATTGGGCTGACCCAATCGAATTCACGTTATTATTAGGGCGTTGTAAAATTCTCTCTAGTAATGTGGTTCATAACAACCGCTATCCACCTTTTTATTGATTCAATAATCCTATCCGTGCCGACTGAGAAGATAGGTTGCGAGATGTTACCGTTTATCGTTCTCATCAGCGCCTCAATGATGGCCATCAGTTTTGCATTGTGTTGCGAATCAAATTACATCACCCCGTTCTGTG